TCTCTCTCTCTCTCTCTCTCTCTCTCTCTCTCTCTCTCTCCCCTCTCTCACTCTCTGTTTAAAAAAAAAAAAAAGAAATCAGTAAAATTTGGGTCTTCTCCAGGCCCCTGACCTATGTTTTACTCTTGTGTCCCCCAATCAGAGGGTTTCTCATCTGGGTTTGAACCAGGGATGCAAGCTGTGCCCTCAGTTCAGGGTGGTCAGCCAGGCCACGCCCACCCACTCGTCTTTCTCATAACTCTCCTGTCCCGTAACTCTTTATTCACTTATTCACTTACTTCCCCCTCTGTCAGTACTGGAGATTAAACCCATGGGTGCTCTATTTTTTCTGAGCTAAACCACCAGCCCTTTTTATTTTTTCTCTTGAGACAGGGTTTCACTAAGTTACCCAGACTGGCCTTGAACTTGGGATTCTCCTGCTTCAGCCTCCCTAATCACTGGGATTACAAGCATGGGCCATCATGCCCAGTGTACTTATTTTTTAAAACTGAGGTCTGGCTCACTAGGTTGCCCAGGCTGGTATCAGACTCATGGTTTCAAACGACATTCTGCCTCAGCCTCCCAAGCTGCAGATGACACCACAGAGCCAGGCTGCTAAACTCTAATCCTATCTCATCATCAATGCTGCTGCTCCCAAAGGTGAATAGTTGAGTCCTGATTGCCCCTCCCCAGCCCTGTGCCTAGCTCCCAGTAGCACTCATATTTCTGGTGTGAATTTGGTGGGTTGTTCCCATTCAAAATAGGAGAGAGCTGGGCATGGTGGCACATACTTGTAATCTCAGCTACTCCAGAGGCTAAGGCAGGAGGATGGCCAGTTGGAGGCAAGCAACCTAGCAAGACCTGTCTCAAAAATAAATGATAAGAACTGGGACTGTAAACTCAGTGGTAGAGTTCAACCTCCACAAAACAAACCAAAAACAGGAGGAACTTGGGCTGGGTGCTTCAGTTCCTGCTCAGAGCTGCCACCTACATTCACGGCACAGGACAGCTTGGTCTTACCAAGGGCAGTCTATGAAGCCGGGGTGGTCCTGAAGGAGCAGTTTCCCATTGGATCCTTCCCTGAGTGGCTTTTTAATTATTCCAACAGGTCACAGCCACCCATGGACTCTGTCACCTTCTAGGCTTCACACACAGCTCGGAGGATGAGTGGCAGGAGGTAGGAGCCGGCAGAGGCCCAGGCCTTGCTACTCCCATGCACCCACATACCCAATGGTCTCAGGCAGCCCACTCTGCTTTTTTTTTTTTTTTTGGTTCTGGGGATTGAATTCAGGGGCACTTGACCAGTGCTGAGGCTGGCTTTTCAGGAGCCTCCTGTTTGAGCCTCCCGACAGAGCCACTGGGATTATAGGCACATGCCACCACACCCAGCTTTTGACTGCACTTTATTTAAAAAAAAAAAAAAATGGTCAGATGCTTCTAGCAGTATTAGAATTAAAAAAAAAAAAAAAAACTTTTGAAAATTAAATCCACCTAAGCACTAGTAACTGCTGCGCCTGGAAAGCTCATCGTTTAGAGATCTTAGAAATTGAAGATAGCTGTCTGTGGGAAACTGCATTTAGTAGGGATTGAGACCCTTCTGTAAAGTGAATTGACAGCTTTTTTCCTCTGAGGGCATGGGTGGGCACCGCATTTATGAAGCTCCGTGCTGGTCTGAGCACCAGTTGACTCAGGTTAAGTTTGTAAGCAAAGAGTCTCCTTTCAAAGACTTGAGGCAAGCACTCTACCAACTGAGCTATATCCCCAGACCATCAAAGACTTGAAAAAACATTTTTCAGTTAAGATAAAAGCTGGGCTGAGGTTGTGGTTTAGTGGTAGGGAGGTTGCCTAGCACATGTGAGGCACTGGGTTTGATCCTCAGCACCACATAAAATAAATAATTAAAAGGCATTGTGTCCATCTACAACTAAAAAATATATGAAAAAAAAAATAAGATAAAAAGTCCCCCTGGGCAGGGGTATAGCTCAGTGGTTGAGCCCTTGCGTAGCATCTGCTGGCTAGGTCCACCCTGGCTCCTCCCCCAGCCTCCCACACATTCCCTGCTGCCACCCCATGGCCACCACCAGACCTTGCCCTGGCCCTCTACTGCCTCTTACCACCCCTCCTGCGCCCACTCCTTCCCTCCCTTGTCTCACCCCTTTCACATTCCCTGCTCTAGGGCTGCTCTTTAGCTTTGTTGGCAAGTTCTGCACTAAGGAGCACAGAACTCGGTGCTGCCCTTGGGCCTGTGAGGGAGCTGTGAGGCCTGGCCTGCTAGGTCTTTGCCTACCAAGGGCTGCAGGGATAGGCTTCCCCAGAAGGTGACCCCCTGGGCAGAGTCAGGGAGGTGGTGTGAGGGTCCTGGAGGCTGGCCAGCTAGCCAGGGTTCCTGTCTTCCAGATGTACCGCCAGGAGGAGCAAGTGCTGGAGGAGTTGAGGCGTCGAACAGGAGCAAGGCTCCAGCCCCTGAGCAGGGGCCTCTTCTGATGCAGCGGAGGCTCCAGGTTCCAGGACTTGTTGGAGGGGTGTACCTAGAATCAAGGAGCTCCAGACTGCAGCTGTACTGGTCGTGCTGTGCTGGGGGGCCACAGAGGCGCCAGCCCATGCTGAGGCTAAATTCTAGGAGTGGAACTTGGTTTCTTGAACTACCAGAGAAGTATCTATCCCTTTGTTTAGGACACAGCAGATTGTTTTCTTACTAAGCAGAATAGTTGTAAGCCTTTACAGTGGAGGGAGGGAATGGTAAACCCCATATGCTTCTTTAGGGTCTGCCAGTCTTCCACCCTGAAGAACTGAAGAGCTTTGGTGAAAAAGCTTGTCTACCCCTGCAGCCTGCCTGGCAGTGGACACCACCGCCCAGAGCACCCATGCTTCCTCCTTCCTAGGGACAGCTCCTGCAGCTGCACAGGCTGGAGAGTGCTAGAGTCTCACCCTCAGGATCTCTGTGCCTGAGCCTTGCTACCCCTGAGAAGAGTGACTAGGACAAGGGTGGCCTGCCAGCAATAGGTGCACCATACTTGACCTGAATGGATGCCACCAACACAGAGGCTCCTCCCTCTCATCTCCCCCAAGGCCTCAGCTGCCCAGGACCACATGGCATGCAAGGGTGGAGGTGAGGAAGCTGGTGGGCCATGGCTCCCCACCACCACACCTGCCCAGTGCCTGCGCTATTCCCTCCAGGAGATGAAGCACCAACATCCTTCTGCAGGAAATCTCCCTTGGTTGGTATTTCCTATTTATCCTCTGAAAATTGAAAGAAGCCTGGAGTTCCAGAGCTTGCACAGGTAGGGTTTGTGAACCTGGCCCCTCCCAGGTTCCTACGCTGCCAAATGGCTCCATAGGCTAGGTGGGACTATGGGTCTTATGGGGGTGACATGTAGCCTCTTGAAGTCTTTTAACCATGAAACCTGGTGATACTATGATCCTAATCCTTGTGTCTCCCATTAAATGATCCAGAAGCATGGAGTGCCTTTCTGTGAGAAAGTTCAGTGGTCCATTTTCAGAATATAGTATTTAGCCTWAATGGGGATGTAAGATCCAATTGTGGCCATTTCAACTATAGCCCTTCACTTTTCCCACTCAATTTTAAAGCTAGCTAATCATGAAGATTGTAACCCTGAGCTGCTCCTCTCAGAGCCAGGGCAGTGCTGCATTAGAGATAAAAGCAGGCCGACTGCCCACCCAGGGGTGCTTGCTGTCAGATTCTCTTTGGTAGCACGCCTTTCTGCAGAAGTAAAGTTTGCCTTGCCAAGTAACTTCTGAGCATGCATTTGATTCCTGTGGCATCCAGTGTTTCTAACGTTTTTCCCCTCAACTCTACCTTTCTTGGCCTGGATTGTCCCCTGGCTCTCTGGATGTGGAGTTGGCCTGCCCTGGTTCTGCAGTCACTGCTGCCTGTGCCTGACCTACTGATAGTTAAGATTGCTCTCAGTTTAATGTCTAATAACACAAATCAATAGAAGCAGCCACACAACTTGGGTCCACAGTCCTTTTGAAGAGATTGGGGGACCCTAAGAGGGTGGGGGCCCTAATGGGTTTGGTAGAAGCACTTATTTATTTATTTTAGTGCTAGAGATCAAACCCAAGGCCTTAAATATTCACACATGCCAGGCAAGTGCTCTACCACTGAGCCACATCTTAGCCCTTTATATTTTCTTAAAACCCACCCTGTGTCTTAACAGAGAACACAATCAAGTGTCCTCCTAATGTAAATTCAGAAATGTACACTGTGGCTGTGTCAACAGCTATGGCCAAACCTGGCCACACAGTGAGGGACAGTCCTTTTTGTCTACTCCAGGAAGCACTTGGTGTCCTTGGCCCTTCATCTGCCTTGTATCCCAAGTTCAGCCCAACCAGTGTCTGGGGCATCTGGGATTCTGAGGAAAGCTGCGTGAAGTCTGTGGTGAACTGGTGCCTAGAGGCTCCTGCGATTGTGTGGTGGTCTTTCATGCCCTTTGGGTCACCTTCAGTGCCTCTCAGGAATGTCAGGTGTGTACAGTGAGCCCCTCCCTCACATAGCATAGGCAAGGCACAGCCTTAAGCAGCCCGGCGCCACCTGCCAGACTGCAGGTCCTCCCGCCGCCCCTGCAGCTCCAGCCCACCTCAGGATCTTCTGGGCTCTCCAGCCTTTCCCTGGTGAGGTGCAGAGTTCCTGCCCCTAGTGTGCTCCCGCAGGCAAGGTCAGCAGCAGAGCTCACAGAGCCAGGAAGCTCATTCGGCCCTGTTAACTCAGTAAGGCCAGTCCATCCAGAGACGACCAATGTGGCCAAATTTCTTCCTTTTATCAAGTTAACGACTATGTTGAGAGAAAAACAAAGGACATTAGAAAAAGCGCGGGGCTGGGGATGTGGCTCAAGCGGTAGCGCGCTTGCCTGGCATGCGTGCGGCCCGGGTTTGATCCTCAGCACCACATGCAAACAAAGATGTTGTGTCCGCCAATAACTAAAAAAAAATAAATAAATATTAAAAAAAAAAAGAAAGCATTTCTTGAGATTTCTCTGTGAGATCTCCTAACATTTAAAAAAAAAAAAAAGAAAAAAGAAAAAACGCGGAGCTGGGGTTGTGGCTCGGTGGTAGAGCGCTTGCCTAGCATGTGTGAGGCACTGGGTTCTAAGTACCATATGTAAATAAGTAAAACAAAAGGTCCATCAACAACTAATAAAATATTTTAAGAAAAAAGAAAAGGTCAGCATGATGCCAGGCATGGTGGCCATGTCTGCAATCCCAGTGATTTGAGAGGCTGAGGCAGGAGGATGGCAACTGCCAGGCTGGCCTGAACAACCTGGGGAGACCCTGTCTCAAAATAAAAAGGGTTGGAGATGGGGCTCAGTTTGGGAGCATTTGCCTTGCCTGGGGTCAGCCCTGGGTGGGGGAGAAAGGAAAGGAAAGGTTGGCCTGAAGACAGATCAGGTCAGGCCTTTCTGTCCATGCTTTTAACAAGAGTAGTCTTTGGGATCACATTCAAAAGAGCGCTGAGGTGCCTCTGAGGGAAAGGGCTGTTCCCACAGAAGCTGGCTGGGGGGGGTGTCAACATGTCTGTTCCCGTGGGCGTCAGATCTTTCATCTGCCAGGAAGCTGTGCCTGGTGGAATAGATGACAGTCCTGAGAGGCAGTGAGAGCCAGGGCAGCCAGGAGAGAAGCCCAGGTGTGGCTGTCAGCCCTGCTCATCCTGCTCCAACCAGGGGCCCCGAGGGTGCAGATGTCGGCACTCTGCTGGTGAAGAGCCTAGGGAGTGGGAAATTGCCCTAAAAGAAAGTGAATGAACACTGATGCATAATACTTAAAATCAAGACTTTAAAAAACAACATCGAAACATGAAGGGAACATAATTCCACCAAAAAGAGTAACAGCTTTCTGTAAAGCGTGCGGGTATCATGTACACATAAGAACCAGTGACAGGACCCAGAGGAACACACTAGAGGAGCTATCCCCCCACCTCGCCCCCACCTGCTCTGCAGAAGGAGCTTCAGGCACTTGCTTTTGATTTGCAGAGATGGGCAAGCCGTGGAGCAGATCTGTGGTGCCTGCAGCCTATGCCCATGTATAGGGCTTAACTTGAAGGGACGGGAGGAGACTGCTTCACATGAATGACAAACAGGCCTTCSCACACCATGCTAGTGTGAGAGGTGGTGCTGGGGCTCAGACGCAGTCCTCACGCATGCTGGGCAGGCCCTCTACCACTGAGCTGCGTCCCCCACTCCAATTTGACTTTCTTACGTCTCCCCCATAGAAATGTTGAGATTTTTATGTAGCTAAAGCTATTAATCTTTGTCTATTGAGAACCCTGAACTGTGTTTGTCTTGAATTCTTTCCGGACGAAATTTGTTTTTCACCTGGGTGAGGCATTCACCTGATTTTTCCAGTGGCGCTGGAGGGTGAAGACCTTGATGCTTACCAAGCTGGAGCAAGGGGCTCACACTCCTGGAGCCTGTGAGGGTAGCTCACTGTCCGTTGCCACCCTAGAGGAAAGACAGGGTGACCTTGGGTGGTCACTGCCCTGCCTAGCTCACAGGAACTTGCTTTGGGTTGGGGGAGTCACATGTGAGAAATGTGCCAGAACTCACCCAGTGGGAATAATCCCAGGGCCAGTCCTGCTAGGCTGGACAAAGACCCCAGCCACAGTTACCTCCCCGAAGGGGGTCCATATGGCCTGGCGACTTAGGGCTGAGGCCTACTATTTTCTGGCGTATGGCAGAGTGTTTCCAGCTTCCTTTCAAACCTCTGCTACAGTCCGCAGGCCTGAGCATGGGTGTCCATTAGGTGCTAAGGAGTGCAGAGAGGCAACCCCAACCCTATGGGTCCTTCTACTCTTACCCTCCAGACTTACGTGGGGCCAGCCACATGGCGCATGGTGGGCAGGAAGCTGTTGGCCGCTGGGAGGGCTGTGGCCGTGACCACTGGAGGCCATGTGGAATAACCAACAGGGGTGCCAGGCATGGGGCTAGCCTGCAGCGGGACTGGGGGCGCATAGTGGTGGTGATGGTGCACTGGGGCTGGCCTCTGCCTCTGGGCTCTCGGGATGACCTGGCGTGCCCACTGCAGGTCCTGGCACAGAGGGCATGGCCTATATCAGGGTCACGCCCAGCTGCCCTGGACACTTTCCTGCACCTGCTCCCAGCTGGTGCCTTGAGTGCAAGGGCAGGAAGGGGAGCAGGCTCTGAGCAGAGCTAGGGGTGCTTTCTGGGCCCAGTCCCAGGACCCATTCCTCCCTGGGGTGGGAATAGGGAGGCTGTGGACTTCACAACCAACCCACAGACCCAGACCCAGAGGTCCTTCCAGAACTACAGGCACACACTCTTCTGGGGTCTACTCAGGTGGCCCCTGGGCACCTGTCCCACTAAGCCTACCTGCTGCGGGGTGTGTGGTCCCCCAGGCCCTACTGCAGGTGGGAGGGCTTTGAGTAGCATGTTTTGCATGATGATCTGGTGCATCTGCGCATTCTGCATCAACATCATCTCCACCATGTCTGAAACAACAGACCAGAGTCGGGTGCTCTGCCACTCAGAGATGGGGCATGCTGATAGGCTCTGCCTCAGAAACAAGAGCTTTAGGGCCTCATACTGTTAAAACAGCCTCGTGAGCACCAGAGAGCATTCCAGCATGTGTGCCTGTGCCCCGGGCAGGTCCCTGGGCGTGTTCTGATCTGGGTCTTCTGGTCAGAGGACGTGCATGGATAAGGTTTTGTGGATGGCACCTAGCTTGCCACGTGAGGGGCTGTGCATTTCGTCTCAGTGCCACCAGTGGTTGTGTGGTCACCCCAACTGTGTGTGTGTATCTCCCTGTCCTACTCCACAAGACCTCTGAAGGTGATCCTTCTTGGAAAAATGGTGTTAGTGGATTTATTTGAAGATTTTGAATCAAGGAGATCATCCTGGATTACTCAGGTGGTCCCTAAATCCAGTGAAAGTGTTTTTATAATGAGAGGGGAGCTGGATAGTGTTGATGTACACCTGTCATCCTGAGGCAGGAGGAAACCAGGTCTGCCCAAGAATCCCCACAGCTCAGTCATGAGGGGGTCAATGCAAAGGAAAGCCACAGTGAACTACCTCTGTGCCCCATTAAAATAGCTAAAGTTGAAAAGACTGACCACACCAGCTGTTGGGGTGTGTGCCTATAGTTTCAGGTACTCAAGAAGCTGAGGCAAAAGGATCACCTGAGTTTAAGAGTTCAAGGTCAGCCTGGACCCACAGCAAAACCCATCTCAAAAAAAACCACACCAAGGGTTGGGGAGGCTGAGGAGGAACTAAAACTTTCAAACATTGCTAATGGGAATGTGGAGTTGTTCAGGCACTATGGAAACAGTTTGGCAGTTTCTTAAGAAGTTAAACATAACCCTATTGCATGAGTCAGATGTCTCACACCTAGGTGTTTACCCTAGAGAAATGAAGACCCACAATTACAGAGAGGCCGGCCCGAGAATGCCCACAATAGCCGGAACCAGGAAACAACCCATGTGCCCATCGCCATGTGAACACGTAACTAACTGGCCTGTCAGGACCAGGGAACACTGCCTGTCAGTTTCAAGGAGGGGCTGGTGGTGAGCTCCGCAGCAGAGCATGTGCCTGAGACCCTGGTTCCATCTCTGCACCAAGAAAAAGAAAAAACTTAATTTAAAATTTTAAAAAAGGTGCCACTTATTCTTTGTCACCCCAATAAGGTTGTTTTGAAAATCAAGTATTTAGGTTACTTTACAAGAAGCAGCTTGACCAGGCCTTACATGCAGCTAACAAGGGAGAGTTGGGGTTGGTACTCTGTTCCAACTCCTAGTCCACTGCTCTGTCTTAAGCTTTTAGTTTTCTTCCTTGGAGCTCAGAGATATCCTTTACAGAAGAATTTCTTTGTTTTTTTCTTTCATTTTTTTTTTTTTAACAGTGCTGGGGATTGAACCCAGGGATTTGCATATGCTAAGCACATATTCTATAATGGATCTCTTTTTTTTTTTTTAAATATTTATTTATTTATTTGTTATTGGCGGACACAACATCTTTGTTTGTATGTGGTGCTGGAGGATCGAACCTGGGCCGCACGCATGCCAGGCGAGCGCGCTACCGCTTGAGCCACATCCCCAGCCCCTATAATGGATTTCTTAAAGTTAAAATTATTTTCATGGGCTGGGGATGTGGCTCAAGCGGTAGCGCGCTCGCCTGGCATGCGTGCGACCGGGGTTCGATCCTCAGCACCACATACAAACAAAGATGTTGTGTCCGCCAAGAACTAAAAAATAAATAAAATTCTCTCTCTCTCTCTCTCTCTCTCTCTCTCTCTCTCTCTCTCTCCTCTCTCACTCTCTCTTAAAAAAAAAAAAATTGTTTTCATGTTCAGTAGCCAGAAGCTGACTCTAAATGACTGTCCTGGTTGCACAAATGTTTTCTCTTTCAGTAGACAATTTCATAAACCCATAGCAATATTAACACACATCACTCACCTTCTTTAATGCTTCCTGACCTTTGAGTGGGAAAGGCCTGAGGAGCAGGAATCTGTGTGATGAGTGGCTGCTGAGGGAGCTGCTGAATGATGGTGGCAGGAGGCTGGGGAACCTAAGAAGGTGATTTGCCACCTGAATTCCTCCTTGGAGACAGTGTCCTACAGTATCCACCATTCCTTCACCCGTCCCCTCATCTCCATCTACTCATCCATTCTTCCGCCCATCCACGCACTCTTCCATCCACCCATTCTTTCATCCATTCTTCCACCCGTGAATCCATCCATCTACCCATCCACTCTTCCATCCACCCATTTATCCATCCATTGTATTTGAGTGAATGAGTCTGGGTATACTTAGGATGTAAGTTTTTGATATTTTCTTCTTTTGTGGTACTGGAAATAGAACCCAGGGGTACTTTACCACTGAGCTACACCTCCAGCCCCCCTTTTTTCATATATATATATATATATTTTAATAGCCTCACTAAGTTGCTGAGGTGCTCTCTAAGTTACCCAGGCTGGTGTCAAATTTGCAATCCCCTGCCTCAGCCTTGCGCATTGCTGGGATTAATAGGTGCTTGTCCACCACACCTGGCAGAATGAATGCTTTTGATGATTCCCACATTACTTGTCATGAGCAGGGTGAGCTAATGCCTGGTTTCATTAATTCTGCTTTCATAGATGCATCTGACACTTGGCATGGTCAGTCTTTTCAAATGCAGCTATTTTAATGGGGCACAGAGGTAGTTCACTGTGGTTTTACTTTGCATTCACCTCATGACTGAGCTGTGGGGATTCTTGGGCAGACCTGGGTGTTGAGTGGCTGCTCATCCAATAGGCGTTCAGCTCCTGTCCTGGCGCCCTGCCTATCCTGGCATGGATACCAACCTGGCCAGTTACTCTAGCTCTGTCATAAACTGTAGACATGTGTGGAACTTGTGCAGATAATCTCTGGTTTCTCTTCTGAGTGAAAATAAATGTATGGCATTTTTTAGTGAACACCAGAAACACCTGTTTTAATCCTTTTCCAGACAGAAAACCAGCATGACCTTGTCCCTCTTCCCCCACTTTCAGGAAGTGTGGATCAGCCCCAGGACTGGCAAGCTTCTCCCACAGTGGGCCAGGTCGTACCTTGCTGGGCTCGTGGACCACATGGGCTCAGTTGCTAGTGCTCACTCTGCCGTGGGACCTTGGGAGCAACTACAGACAGAGCTGGCCAGAGCCGGGCCCCTACCACTCACCAACACTGAAATGTGCATTTCTTATCATTTTGATGTGTTACAAAGCAGTATTCTTTTATTTTTTCATAAACATTAAGAAAATAAATAAAACTGGAGCTAGGAGTGCAGCTCAGTGGTGGGAAACTTGCCTAGCATGTGAAAAGGGCCTTGGTTTGATCCCCAGTCTGGGAAAAACAAAACAAAACAAAAACCGAAAAAAAACAAGGCACACTGTGGCACACAGTTGTGATCCCAGCTACCTGTAAGGCCGAGGCAGGGGGATCACAGTTCAAGGCCAGCCTGGGAAACTGAGCCAGACCTGGTCTAAAAATAAAATAAAACAACAACAAAAAAGGGCCAGGGATGTAGCTCAGTGGTAGAGGGTCCCTGGTACCACATTTAAAATGTCAACCTGCTCTGCAGCCACCGTCGGCTAGCCCTGGCTCTGGATGAGGCAAGCCTGGGGTGGCTGCTCCTGTCCCAGCTGCCAGATGTCCCCCCACCCCTGCTTCCCCACCACAGTTGCCTTTTCCCCTCACCCCCTTACCGGGTGCTGGATGATCCTCAGAGGCTCAGGCGCCGGCAGGGGTGGAGACGCGGCCCGGTAGATGCCCACGGGAGGCACTTCTGGGTACAGGGCTGATCTGTGGGCTCCTCCGGGTGGCCCCCTCCAGCAGCGGGGCTGGGGGTGCTCATCTAGAAGCTGCTGTTCCTGAAAGACCAGCAGAGCCTACTGTGCCCAGAATGGGCCACAGGAGAAGCTTTGGACCAATGTGGACACAGGGTGCATGGGACTGTCACCACCGGCCGTCCCTGTCCCCCACCTTCCCTGGGCACGTGGAGCCTGCAGCTGCTTAGGCCCTCAGCTCAGGTTGGAGGCCCCAGAACTGGAGCTGGCAGAAAAGTGAAGCCAAAGGCTGGTGTGGGTGTGGCACATCCCGTGGAGTCTGCTTCCTCTGAAGTCTGTGCAGTCAGCTTCCGCCTGTCCTTTCCCAGCCGGCAGGGCTGTGTGCTCTTCAGGCAGCGCCAGGGTCTGCCTCACAGGCTGGCAGCCCCACCTCCTGCCCAGGGCATGCAGGGTCACCCTGCCACAGCACACCCCTGGCATGGCCAGTGTAGCCTGGATGGGGCCCCTGGGCATCTCACATTCCCCTTCCTGTGGGGACGGGGCCCTGACTCAAGGCTGTCTCCTTCCATGTGTGCAGCCCAGCCCTCGACAACCACGGGGGCCTGCAGCTCACACCTCCTCAGGGAAGCCACCTCAGGGCTCAGAGTCCAGTTTCCCACCTACAGTTCAAAACCACCCAGAAGGGCCTCTCGGACATGCTGGGTCTGTGTGGAAGCCAGCCCCTCTGCCGTGGACCATGGGGAGGTGCACCGGCTTACCCAGAGTCTCTGTAGAAGGTCCTTCCTCCTCCTCAGAGCGCGGGGCAGGGCCTCCTCTGGCCTGGCCTCCTTTCCTGGAGGGAGACACACCCTTGCTTATGGGGGAGAGCTTCCTGGCTGGTGGCCCAGGCAGAATGCCACACCCTCCCCACACCCTGGGTCCCCGGCCCCTGGCCTCCAGGAGCACTCATCCTGTGGAGGGAGGGACCAGGACCAGTGGTGGGAGGGTGGGGAACTCAGTCTTCAAGCTGGAGTCTGCAAAGGAGCCAGGCGTGACGCAGGGCAGGCCCCTCTGGGTCCCTGCAGGCCTGCTGGCTGAGGAAGGCAGGCCTTCTGCGGGGCTGGGTAAAAACCTCAAAAGCCCATTTTCCACCACCTGTGCCACCAAGCCCAAGCTGTCTGGAGAGGACTGGCCTGTTCACCAAGTATGCAGGAGAAGCCTGCTCCCCAGAAATGGCTATGGAGGAGTCCAGTCACCCCAGTGTCTTGCTGGTGCCAGGCTGCTGAGGATACCCCACCACACACTCTGGCACACTAGCAGAAGCTCTGCTGTGCAGGACCCGGTCATATGGCAGGGTCTGCCACATTCCATCTGGCCTTGGGCTCAGGTTGGGCCAGTCGCCCTCTGGGTCCTGGAGCCCACAGCATGGCTGTTTGTTCCAAAGAACAAGACCCACTCCTCCTCAGCCCCTCCCTCAGGTGTCCTTCAACCTGGATTCTGTCCAGTGAGGACACCCCCATCTTGGACAATTTCAGGGGTCTGGGATCAGAGCCATGAGGGTCTGGCCTGTGGGACACCTCAGAGCTGAGCCATCGGGGCAGGCTTCCCAAGCCATCGACAGGATGGGAGCCTGCACGTACCGCCTGGGACCTGCAGGCTGAAGGTGGAGAACGCTGTGTTACAGGGAAAGCAGAGTCCTTTCAACTCTGGTGTGAAGTGAGAGTACTAAAGAAAAGGCTGGCTTCTGGGTGCTGCCCCTATTGCCCTCCCCTGTCTGCTCCTGTGCTAGTCTGGGTGGCTGGGAGCAGCCCAGGGCTCTCACCTGGCACCAAGAAAGAGCCTTCTGAGTCCCCTTCCATGTTCTCTCGCTCTTGCTCCAGCTTCTGTGAGGAACAGAGGCTGGTGGTGACGTTGGCCCAGTTGGTTAGCGTGCTTGCCTGGGTGCCATCCGTGAGTTCTGGGAGTGCCCATCACCCAGACGGAGGTGTTGGGGGCCGGAAGAGGGTGAAGTGGGTGGACAGGGGCCATGCTGGTCATGCATCAAGTCAATGCACCTACTCCTCATTAAAACCAGGGGGATGCTGGGTGTCGTGGTGCCCACCATAATCCCAGAGGCTCCAGAGGCTGAGACAGGAGGATCAAGAGTTCAAAGCCAGCCTCAGCAAAATCGAGGCATGAAACAACTCTGAGAGACCCTGTCTCTAAATAAAATACAAAATAGGGCTGGGGATGTGGCTCAGTGGTCGGGTGCCCCTGAGTTCAATACCCGGTAAACACCCCCCAAAAAAAATCAGCCATCCCAGGCACACTTCTGAGGAGTGGGCCTTGTAGAGACTATCCTGGTGAGACCCCTGTGGCCTGGCCAGTGACTACCCTGATTGCCACCTCCAGGACCCTGCACTGAGGATGCAGAATTGGTGAGAGGGAGACACAGGTGAGGAACAAAGCGGGCAGAAGGCACGGAGGGGCCACCATGGGCACAAAGGTCCCTGTGGGCCAGTGCTCAGTGACCTGGAGAGGGATTAGAAGGGAAGAAGATGGGGCTTGATAGGCTCAGTGCTGAGGCCTTATGTCTGGGGGCACCAGCCAGGCATGGTCTCAAAACGGGCCCTTCCCTGGGGGTGCTCTGTTGGTAGGTGCTGGTCTCCTTACTGGAGAACTAAATGGTTCTGCGTCTGTGCTAAGAAGTCAAGAAATAGATTCATGAGGCCCAAAACCCATGGGAAGGGTTTGCTTTGAAAGCAGGAATGTGCCCAGATAGAAGGCAGAGGCAGAGACTCTGGGAGCAGCGTCTTGTCTTCTGCCGTTGGAGCCCCATGCTGGGCTGCCTCCTCTGGGGTCAGTGTGGCAGTGGCCTGGCTCAGTCCTACCTGCTCCAAGAGACTCAGTGTCAGGCGGGTGATCTGGTCTGCCACTGATGAGTCCAGCATCATGGGGACGAGTGAGGTGACTGTGGAGGGCAGGAGGCCGCAGCCCACACTCTGTAGCTGGTCCTCAGATGTCTGCAGCAGGGCCACCTGGCGTTGTGGCAGGGCTTCCCTGAAGTGGGCTGGTCCACCTCCTGGAGGCTGGCTTCAGGATGAGAGGAGAACATGCAGAAGGACCCCACACCCCTGGACTGCTGTGTCCGGAGCCAGCCCTGGGTGGTGTGGCAGTTGCCAGGCTTGGAGGACAGAGAGGCCCTTGTTGCCAGGTTTCCTTCCCAGGTTTTGTATTCCCCAACAGAGTCACCTGTAAACACAGGTTGGCAGGGGTGGCTAGGCAGGGCTGACTGGGAAGACAGAGGGGCAGCCCTGGGACCAGAGAGACAGAATTCTCACCCCCTTCTAGCATCCCCTCCCCCAGGCAGCCTGGAGGAACAGAGGAGGGAGGTCACCCCTTCCTTTCTGTGGCCCCCTGGGGCAGACAGCGCACCCCTTCCACAGACCCTCAGAGTAAGAAGTGAGTCCAGCTGGACTCCTGGAGACAGTGGCTGGGGGCCCACCTGAGGACTTCAGGAATCTCTGGGCTGCAGAAGGGGCAGGACAGGAGGGGCTTGTGCTGGGAAGCACGCCCCCACACAAGCAAGTGGTCATCACGTTGCCCAGCAGGGGGCCATCCCTGTGGGTGGGGAAAGCTTTGTAGTGACCTAGCCCAGGAAGGGGCCAAGCATGGGTGGAGGGTGGTTTGCACGTGGCAGGTAAGGAGGCCATGAACCAGGAGCTCCCACCTCCAGACTGACAGATGAGCTGGCTTGAGGAGAGAGTAAAACCCAGGTGTGAAATCAGGCCATGGGAGCAGCTGGGTCAGCCCTGTGGACTTGAGGAGTGCCCTGGGCAGGCCCAGTATCCCTGCAACATCACCCACCTCAGAAACTGCATCAGATCCCTGACATGGCCTCAGAGCCTCTGAGTTTGCCCCTGCACTTCAGCATTCATGGGTTCATAGGTAGCATGACCTGTTCTGATTGGCATCCCTTTGAGAACCTCTGCTGGACATGGGAGGACTTAGGGCAGAGGTGGCCATCTCATCAAATCAGGCCCCCAAAGCAGCTCCTGTGATGGTATCTGCTGGTGCAGCTGTAACCTGCTGGCCCTGGAGCTACAGGCTTGACACCTGTGTCTACCCCGATACATCTTTGCTGTAGAGGGGTAGGACCTCACCCTCCTGGGGGTACCATCTGCCTTGCACCCCGTAGGGTGATGATGTCTTGGGGTTCTCTCTGACACCCCTGGTACCAGCAGACCTGGGCCCACAGTTGAGATGCCAGTGCATGTCCACAGCATTCCTGATGCTGGGAGTGTTAGGAGACATTCAAATGGGTGGTCTGAGTGTACATGAGACTAGGTAACACAGTCAAGTAGCTCAGAGTAGCTAGGAGTTAATCCCTGTGACATCCACAGCATCTTCCTGTAGGTATGGGTTGTTATGCAGGTTTCGAAAGTTTACTTGTTTATTTATTTTACAGTTGGTCTTGCTATCTCGTTGTAAGGCAGGCCTAAGATGGCTACAGCTAGGGTCCCTTGCAGAGACTCCCTGTTAGCTACATTTTAGCATGTAGTCAAGGCCATGAATACCCTGATTCAGACACTCAAAGTCATAAATATCTGCTTGTTAGCATGTGCCCATTTATATACCTGTTGATACTGGGCCTTCTTTGTTTAGCCTGAACATAAAAAAGGCGTATGGAAAGGCCCAAGGGGTTGCTGCCTTCTAATAAAGCAGGTCTGCTCTCCCAACTGCCTCTCCCATCTTCCTTCACCTGCCAGGATGCTGAATCTCTCCCAGGTCTGAGCCACTGCAGAACACTTGTCCAGGCTCAAGCAATCTTCCTTCCTCAGCCTCCAGAATGCTGGTATACAGGTGTGTCCCCAGTGCTTCAGATACTGAAACCCATGGACAGATTCAGGACAAACATGGGTTCCTGGATGTTCTTACAAAGTCTGATCCTGCAGTCTTTCTAGCCCCCTTCCTAACAAACCCACTTCACCCAGTGTTTGTGCAAACAGTCCAATTCCACATCTGGGAACCTGGAGACTCCGCTTGCTACTGGAGAGCTGTGATGTGACTGGGAGGAATGCTTCTCCTGCTGGGTTTCCAGGGATTCCTGAAGGTTTGTTTACACTGTGGTCCCTTGGAGCTGCAGGACCTGCTGAGACTGAAGGCCAAGCTTGTCAGCAAGGTGGCCTCTCCCAGTGCATAAAGGGTTTCATTAATTAGTTTGTTATCTGAGAGGGAGCAAACAGCACCTGGCCCTCCTCACCAAACATATCCAAGTGAGGGCATGGGCATAGGGGAACGGAATAAAGAAACACACTGTCCTGTCACCAAGGACAGATGGGCGATGTGTTGAATGCAATTAGACAATGGGGTTTATATGAAGGAATATTCCAGAAGGGTGGGGCCTGCACCAGGTCCTATGGTTGCAGTTGTTTGGAGAGCTGGTCCCTCCCAACAGACTCACCTGGCCCAGGCACAGGTGTCTCACGTGGAGGGTATCAACAGGCAAAGTGTGCAGTGCATCCCTGACCCCATTCCATCCTTTCAGAGGGCATGTCTTTCTGGACAGGCTCTGAGGGGACTTGCCTCCTTTTAATACTGACGGCATGAGCATCACTGAGTCTGGTGCCCATAGCTGTAGGTGGGTCCAGCCTGGCCATCTCCAGTGGCAACTGACATGTGCAAAGAACAGCTGGGAGAAAGCAGTCCAGCTTCCCCTGAGCTGACCACACCAGAGCATCTCACTGCTTGTCAGAACTGTGGCTGTGAGGAAAAGCCTGACGTTACCACCTGTGGACACACGGGTTCCAGTGAAGCCTGAAGCTAAGAGCAACGATTTCATAAAATTTCCGATTCCCACACAGATGATGAATTTATAACCAAGCCACATTACTTCAAAAAAATTAATAGTTCATTTTTTAGAGCAATTTTAGATTCACAGAAAGATTGAGGCGAAAGTATATCATGGTCTTTTATTTTTTTGGGTACCCAGGATTGAACTCAGGGATGCTCGACCGTGTGGTTTTTTAAAAAACCACTTTGGGGCTGGGGTTGTAGCTCAGTGGTGGAGTACTTGCCCCTCACATATCAGGCACTGTTTGATCCTCAGCACCACACAAAAATAAATAAGTAAATAAAATAAAGATATTACATCCATCTAAAACTAAAAATATTTTTAGAAAAACCATTTAAATGTGTGTGGAAATATTAAGATCCACCCAAGACCTGAAGCAACTAGGGCTGTGAACAAAAGCTCTGAAGAATTCCACGTAGGCTGCACATGGCAGCAGGCGTGGGTTTATTAGAAGCAAAGGGGAAAGGGGACATTTTCCAGGTAGAGTGAGTCCTCTCAGAGAGGGACTGATGCTCTCTCCTGTCCCCTTTTTTTTTTTGGGGGGGGGGAATCGGAGTTTCTAAGTTCCCCCCAGGTTAACCTCTTCAATTTGACCGACAGTAGGATGACATTGAAGCCAGATTTAAAGTTAGGTMGTCAGTGTAGTTAGGTAAATCGGGTCTAATACCTAGTGAAATCTAAAATGGAGGCCATGCTGGGAATGACTCAGGGAAAACACAGGACAATTTATGGAATTTTAATGAAGTCCCGAAAAGGCCCTAGGCCAAAGTCCACCTCAAAGAAGTATTAATGAACAGCCCCCAACAGATTGGGAGATAGCCCATCCCAAAGAAGTGATAATGATGTCCTTCCTGCCCAGATTACTTGTTTGGCCCACCTGTGTCCCAACCCTTCCCCTTMCATTCCATCACCAAAACTATAAAAAGAGGAGACAACCACACTTCCACGGATTCCACCTCTTGGGTCCCCTCCTTCCTCCGGGAGAAGTCTTTTCTGTTGTCCTTTAACAAACTTCTAATTTCTACTCTGACCTTGCCTCGGCGTGTGCTTTTCTGGTGTTATTCTTCAACATTGGGGAAGCAAGAACTCCTCACCGGTCAACAGCGGTATCAACATCAGACTCCCACATCCCTACTGCACATGGTCTAACCACCGAGGAGAGATTTTACTATTATACTAAAATCGAAGGCATTTCTGGTTCACCTCGGCCCCCACTGGCCAGTTCTAATTGGAACCATTTGTTATAGATTTATGGTTGGGAAGTTTGTTTTTAATTATCCTGTTCCCCTGGGTTCTGGAATCTGTGGTTAATATAAAGGTCATGTAAGTTCCCCAAGAACCTGTGTTCTTCTCAGCATGGAGGAGCCTTTCAGGATGGTTTCTCTTGCAGATAGCAGGCTGTTTGATGAGCAATGTGGCATATCCTATCGATTAAGCCAGGTAGGGCCACAGTGGTCTCAGGCAAATTGTTTTTTAAAGGAAAGCAGGTGGGGGTCAGCAAGAGAGGCCCAGTCTACAGAATTAGGCCCTTAGCCTTCTGTTCCCACCGCACATGTCTGCCTGCCACCTATCAGGAAGATTTCAATCTTTGTGCTCCTCTCAGGAGAGGCTGTTGGACCCCTAAACTCCACCCTCCCTCGGGCCACTTAGCACTGGGCGCTATTACTCTATCACTTAACAGCACCTTCACCAGCGTTCTCGACCCACACACGCCACGGCAGGTCGGGGGCTCACATATTCTAGTATGTGGAGCCATCCAGGAGCTGCTGGCTGGTCACACGTGCCTGGGGAGAAAAAGGGCACGGTTCGGAGGCCCTCAGTGGCTTCCTGTCCCTGCAACTCTTTTGAGTAGGGTCGCGGTCCTGGTTTTAGGCCTCACTGAACTGGTCATTCTGGCTGCTTCTGGCCTTTGGCTCTTGGCCTTTTGGTTCAGCGCGCAAGAAGACATCTTGGCAGGTGCAGAGAAGGTCACATGAGAGTCTGGGGTATAGGATGGAGTCCAAGGGCCCGGCAGGTGGCCTGCAACTTGTGGGGTGCGCAGACTCAGAACTTGCCTAGAGCAAGGGGGTCGGGGCCCTGTTCCCCGGGTCGAAGACTAGTGCGGTCGCGGGAGCCCGGGGGGCTAGCGCAGTGGCTGCAGCCATCCTTCTGCCTCCGTCCCCAGGCACTGACTCTGCAGGCCGGGAGGTTCCGCGGACAGAAACCCGCGACCCGCACCTCGTGGCGGACCGAGAAGATGCAAAGTGGGGCGGCCGGCAACCGCGCGGAAGCCTGGGCAGCAACGGGAGGAACTCTCGGGGCCGACGCGGCCGCGCGGGAACAGAGGCGCGAACCCTCGCTGAGAGCGGACCAACCACTGCGAACACCAGGAGCCCCGCGCTCCGCTCATTGGTCCTGCCGGAGGAGGCGAGCGCCTGAGCGCGCTAATCGAATGCCGGAGGGGCGGATCTCCACGAAGCCGCTCTGCCAGAGCACGCATGCGCGGTATGGCCCGCGGACCGTGATTGGCGGCGCTGAGCAGCGGGGCGGGGCCACGGCACTGACAGTTGTCGGGGGGAGAGGGCGAGTCGAGCCAGGGGGAGGGAGTGTAAATAGAGTGAGGGCGGCGTGGCGGCGGCCCCGCCACCTCTGGGCGACCCGCGAGGAGCCCGAGGGAGATGGACGGAGATGAGCAAGAGCAGCGGCGCAAGAAGGTGGAAGCCGGGAGAGCGAAGGTAAACGGCGGCGCCCTCATCTTCCCCGCGCTGCCATGAGAATTGCCCAGGTGGCTCTGGTGCCAGCCACCGCCACTTGCCAGGTGCAGACGCGGTCGGGTGGTGGCCACTGCGGAGGCCCTGCCCTTCTCGTCGACTTTGTTCGAACCCCGTTCTGGCCGCCGCCATCTTGAATCGGCCGCCTTGGCCCAGGCCCGCCCACTCTGCCGGCGCAGCCTATCAGCGGCCAGGATGCGCCAGGCCTCGTGGGCGGGTCACGCCGGGGCGGCGCGGGTCACGCCGGGGCGGCGCGGGGCGGCGCCTGCACCTGGGCTCGGTGCGCACGCCGGCCACGCCCCTGCGTCCCCCGAGAGGCGTGGTCCCTGGTACTGGAGTGTCGTGCGCTCTGAGGCGCTGCACCCCGTTAGCTGCCCTAAGGCTTCTCTGCGCGCCCGTCGTTTTAAACAGCATTCACAGTGTCCCTGTCCTGTAAACGTGCTGTCCGTGAGTCTACGAAAGTCCCCGGTGGTCCCCGGTCCTGAGGGCCTCAGGTTCTCAGAGTCGAGTGCTTGTCACCTCCTCCTGCCCCAGTTCTTCGGTCAAACGGAAAAGTGCTCCCTTTGGACCTGTATGGGGCATTTGGGGGAGTACGACCGGCGAGGGACGACTCAGGCCCCGCAGGCAGACACCGCAGCCTCTCGGGCTGCGGGACCCCGGAGGTTTCCCGCGCTGCCTGGCAGCCCGGGGCTGGGTCAGCCATGGAGCCCCTGTGCTACAGAAACATCCAGATACACTGGCAGGCAGGGGACACAGCGGCCTCATTCAGCCACCTGTGACAGGCTTCTGGCTGGTCCCAGCAGGGGCTGGTGACCTTTCCTCCCTCTGCACGTACGTGCACGTACCCAGGTCCCCGCTGAGCGCAGCACTGGAACTGAGTAGGGCCCAGCTTGTGTGGTTGGTAAACTGCAGTGGAAGTGCTTGAGGGACAGGGAGCCTCGGAAGGACCAGGCCAGAGGTTCAGTGCTGTCACAGATAGTGGAGGGCGATGAAATAGATGAGAATACCAGGATATGAAGGCAGCTTTCTTTCCCCCTTTAAATGATCTTATGCCAACAAAATTGTGTACTTTGGTTATCATTTATATAAATGTTAAGCGTATTTGCTGGTACAGCCCAGATGTCATTTGAGGGAGCAGAGGACCCCTCTTGGACCCATTCCTTTTGAATGAGGTGTGTGTGCGAGCTGGTGCATGAATGTGGTTGAAACTCTCAGGTCTAAACCTGAACAGGGCTGGGCTGTCTACTGATGGGAGCACTCTGTGGCGGTCCCTGGTGCTTTGGAGAGCTGTGTCAGGAAAATTAGAACATCAGGTTCTATAAAGGGAGATGTTAGATTGACCTCACTCAATTAATTTTTTGGTATTTTTGTATCTTGTCTTAGAATCTATGGCTAGGAAATTTTGGCTGGGTGGTATATTTCCTTGATTGAAAGAGAATGGGGGCAAGAATGGAATGGTTTAGCTTTTAAATAATTTTGAGCGTTAAATATATCTTGATTAAGCTCTCAGCATTTTAAATTGATGTATTTAAAAATTTTTTTTTCTCAAAACTGCCAAGGGTTAGAAAAGCTATTCTGCCTGTCAATCATATCTTTTTTTTTTTTTTTTGTCTGTAACTAGGCCTAACTAACAGTCCTCATCTGTAGGCTGTATGTCACTCAGAACTCAATGGTGGCCTTATAGTTGTTAATGAAGAGTTAGGATAGTGGTCCGGTGGCCAGGCGTGGCCGAGTGGGCCCACTCTGTCAGAGCTGCATGCTCCCCGCCAGTCTGCTGACCTTGTGGGTCTGTTACTTCTTTCTCACTTACCTCTGCCTTTACTACTTCTCCACCTTTCTGCGCAGCTTGCTCACTTCCGACAGAGAAAAGCAAAAAGTGACTGTACGCATTCGAAGAAAAAGACGTCGAAGAGGAAGGGCTCGGCTGTCGATGCGCCTGTCCCGGAGGAGGATCCGGTAGCTGCCCAGGACGGCAGGCCCCTTGGAGCAAGGGATCTCAGCAGAAGCACGGCATGCAGCCGCACCACAGATGGGGCCAGAGGGGCACTTGCAGCTCAGGTAGATTGTCCAGTGTTGTGTTTTCACATTCTGCCTGCCTTTTAGTTACTGCTAATCTAAAAGTGGTCCAGTTTCGCCTTTCAAAAGTGAAGAGAGATGGTTTTAGTTTATTAAAGGTGAGTAACTGTCAGTGGTCTGATTCTTCTAAATGTTTGATCTTTAGTCTACATGGCATTGAGAAATTTTGGATCCATTGCTTAAAGGAGAGTGTCATCTTGGTGCTTTGGTAGTGGAAGTTGTGCAGTGTGAGTCCTGATGCCTCTGGGATGTGTGTGCAGCTGGGTTGTCCAGGCTTAAGGTGTTTGTTAGGATGAGCTGGTAAACTCCTTTTTCTAGAATTTGGCCCCCAAGTCATGATGCGTCTGGCTTGCCTCATTCTGACCAGCATGTAAAATTTGGGATGTCTGTCTGCAAGTCTAGGGTTCTGCCCCAAGACCTTGTCTTGGTGCTCCCAGGAGCCCTGGTGCAGCTGGGCTGTCTGAGCCTTGGGACCCCAGTCCCGGGATCTCCTCCCTGCTCTGCAATCCTGTTCTCTATGGCCTGTATTGGTCGTCATTCCTATTCCTCACCAGCACCTTTCTCTCCTGGTTCCTCTCAGGGCAAGCCACAGGCCAGCCTCACCCTGTAGCTCCATGTGTGTTTATTGCCGAGTCTCTTGGAGAAGAATAGCTCATAGTGTATGATTAACACGTCACAACTTTTTAAAATTTCCAAGTCAGAAATTTTATATTTATATTAGTTTGTTTTACTGTTTTTATTCTGTTTTTGTTCCTCTCCTATCTAGGTTGATTTTATTTAAATTAAACATTTTATAATTTTTAGCTTTCATTTTTGAAGGAATGTTAGATTGAACAAAATTTTCATGAAAACTAGCACAGAGTTCCCAGGTACCCTTATCAGCTTTGTGAAATGCTGATGTCTTATGTGGTCTTAGTACAGTTGCCAGAGTCGGGTCCAGCTGACTTGGAAGCAGTGCTGCAAGCTGACAGTGGGCTTATCCAGGGTCTGCCCATGTCCCACTAATGCCCTTTTAGTTTTAGGTTTCCTGTTGTGTTCCAGCCTTCTTCCTTCCTGGCTTCCTTCTCTGGGAACACCTGGGCATGTGAAAGAAAAACATGTATGCACGCACACACACACACACACACACACACACACACACACACACATCTGTCTGTACTGATGAAAAACTGTGAGTTCATCCAGTACCTTCAGTCCTAAGCCAATATCACAGCATTTGTGATAGTGAGAAACCTGGCTGTCTTTATCTATTATGTATTTACTTAACTGATCAATTCTGAAATACAAATTAGTTTCAAAGTTGTTAATCTACACTTCTCTGAAGAACAGATTTACTCTGGGCTTGGTGACCATGCCCGTGATCCCAGTAACTGGGCAGCTGAGGCAGGAGATCTCAAGTTCGAGGCTAGCCTGGGCAACTTGGCTAGGCTGTCTCAAAAAATAAAAATGGCTGGGGGTACAGGTCAGTGGTAAAGCGCCCTGGGTTCAATTCCCAGTACTGCATAAAGTAAAATTGAAAAAAAAATAACAAGTTTACTACTTGAAGTAAAATATTTGTGTACAGTTCTTTTTGCCTTAGTGTAAGTATATATACAAAACATTGTGTTCCAGAGTTATTAGGTTTGATTTTTCAAATTCTTACCTCTTTTTAAAATATACATTTTTAATTTTTTAGTTGTACATGGACACAATACCTTTATTTATTTATTGTTATGTGGTGCTGAGGATCAAACCCAGTGCCTCACGCATGCTAGGTGAGCGCTCTACCACTGAGCTGCAACCACAGCCCAAATTCTTTACCTCTTTATTGTGGTTATTTTATTTATTTATATTAGTTTGTTTTACTGTTTTTGTTATGTTTTTGTTCCTCTCCTATCTAGGCTGATTTTATATTTGTTGAGTAAGTCAAATACTACTGTGGTTCTAAAACCCAGAGTCAGCCAGGTGAGGTGGTCAATCTGAAATCCCAGAAGCTAGGGAGGCTGAGGAATTTAATGAGACCTTTCCCAAAAAATAAAAAGGACTGGGGATGTAGCTCAGTGGCAGAGCTCTCATGGGCTCCATCCCCAGTATAAGACAACAAAGAAAAACAACTGAAGCCAAGAGCCACACTCAGAGAGTGCTGCTCCTGCTCCTCCTGCCACTCCTGGTGTGCCCCCTTTCCTACCCGGAGCTTCTGGTTTGCTGAAGGACAGAGAGGGCACTCATGCACAAGTTCTCACATCCCATTTCTTACATGCAGTGCATGTTGTAGGTGGTTTTCTTTTTGGGGGTACTAGGGATTGAACCCACGGTGCCTGACCACTGAGCCACATGTCCAGCCCTTTATTGATTTTTGATTTTTTATCTAGAGACAGGGTCTTGCCGAGTTCCCTAGGTCTCGCCTCCTGGGTTGCTGGGATTGCTGGTGTGCTCTGCTGCGCCTGGCTGCAGATACTGTTTTGCTCTTGGCTTTCTTCCTGTAACATCCTACTTGAAATCATTGTATCTCTGTTTCAGAGGTCATCTTCCTTCATCTGTCAGAGCAGCTGCTCCTGTGAGTGGGTGTTTTAGGCTGTTTCTATGATTTGCTTTACAAGCAGTGTTGAGGTGAATAACCTTGCATATATACTTTTACGTCATTGGAAGTCTATTTTTGGGGTCAATACCTGCAGGTTGTTAAAAGGTAAGTGCACATTGTTTTGTTTGATGTGACTGTTGGGATTTCTGTCAACAAGGTGTGAAGTTAGGTTGCCCCACAGTCCTGCTGACACGGTGGCTTCACACATTCTTAACCTTTTAGCAGATAGATGGATGAACATTTGTTTCTCTTGGACCTGTGCTTAGGACTGGTGTGGCAGGATTCTGTGGTAGTGTGTGGTTAAAAGTATCTGCCAGAAACTGTCTTCTCAAGGGGATGCCCCACTTTGCACCTCCGCGTGTTGGAGGGTTCCTGTCCCTTCTGCTGATGTCAGCACTGGCTGTAGTCAGTCTTCTCCACAGCAGACCTTCTAGGAAGGCAGACGATGTTTTGACCAGTTGAACTTGCATTTCCCTAGTGATCAACAATGTTGATCATCTTTCACTTTGCAATACTTGTGAAAGATCCGTTCAAGTGTTTTTCCTTTACAAGAGATGGAATAAAAGATAGATTAAAATGGTTTAAAAATTGCCATCATTGAGTTTTGAGACTTGTTTATATGTTCTGGATGGAAGTTCTTTTTTCTTTTTCTTTTTTGCTTTATTTATCTATTTATGCATTTTGACACACTCTACACAGATGGAGCACAACTTCTCATTCCTCTGGCTGTACATGGTTCAGAGTCACTCTAGTGTTCTCCTACATGTATATAGGGTAATAATATCTGTGTCTTTCTACTGTTCTTCCCATCCCCACAGGCCCCCCCTCCCCGCACTCCCCTCTGCACAAACCAAGGTTCCGTCATTCTTCCCTATGCCCCCGCCCCACTATGGATCAGCATTCACTTATCAGACAAAACATTTGGCTTTTGGTTTTTTGGAATTGGCTTATTTCACTTAGCATGGTATTCTCTAGTTCCATCCATTTACCTGAAAATACCATAATTTCATTCTTCTTTAATGCTGAGTAATATTCCATTTTGTATATGTACCACATTTTCTTTGTCTATTCATCTGTGGAAGAGCATCTAGGTTAGTTTCATAATTTAGCTATTATGAATTGAGCTGCTATAAACACTGTTGCGGCTGCGTCACTGTAGTATGATGTTTTTAAGTCCTTTGGGTATAAACTGAGGAGTGGATAGCTGGGTCAAATGGTGGTTCCATTCCAAGTTTTCTGAGTTATCTCCATACTGCTTTCCATAAGTGATTGCACTAATTTGCGATCCCACCAACAACATATGAGTGTACCTTTTCCCCACATCCTTGCTAACACTTATCATTTCTTGTATTTTTGATAATTGCCATTCTGACTGGAGTGAGATAAAAATCTTAGAGTAGGGTGTCCGCCGCACACCCCCCCYTGCCCTCACCCGTGGTGCCGGGGATTGAATGAACCCAGGGCCTTGTGCATGTGAGGCAAACTCTACCAACTGAGCTATATCCCCAGCCCCTTAGAGTAGTTTTGATTTGCATTTCTTTAATTGCTAGAGAAGTTGAACTTTTTTTTGTATGTTTGCTGACCATTTGTATTTCTTCTTCTGTGAAGTGTCTGTTCAGTTCCTTCACCCATTTATCAATTATGTTATTGGGTTTTTTGATTTCTTTTTGTATCCTGGAGATTTGTGCCTCTCTGAGGTGTGTGTGGAAAACACTTTCCCCATTCTGTAGGCTCTCTCATCACATGATTGTTTTTCCTTTGCTGAGAAGAAGCTTTCTATTTGAATCCATCCCATTGATTGTTGATTCTACTACTTGCGCTTTAGGAGTCTTGTTAAGGAAGTCAGGTCCTAAGCCAACATGATGAAGATTTGGGCCTACTTTTTTTTAGGCACAGGGTCTTTGTTCTTGTGTCTAAGTCTTTGATTCACTTTGAGTTGACTTTTGTGCAGGGTGAGAGAGGTCACCCTCTTAACTTCATTTTGCTATGTATGGATTTTCAGTTTTCCCAGCACCATTTGTTAATAGGCTATCTTTTCTCCACTCTATGTTTTTGGCTGCTTTGTCTTGTATGAGGTAACGGCATTTATGTAGGTTTGTATCTGGGTCTTCTATTTTATACCACTGGTCTGCATGTCTGTTTTGTTTTTGTTACTGTTGCTCTGTAGTAAAGTTTAAGGTCTGGTATTGCTTTGACTATTCTGGGTCTCTTATTTTTCCAAATGAATTTCATGACTGCTTTTGCTTTTGGTTCTATGAAGAATGTCATTGGGATTTTAATAGGAATTGCATTAAATGTATATAACAGGTTTGGTAGTATGGCCATTTGGACTGTAATAATTCTGCCTATCCAAAAGCATGGGAGATTGTCCCATCTCCTAAGATCTTGTTTAATTTCTTTCTTTAGTGTTCTGTAGTTTTTA